AAAGACGGGGGATGCTGGTTTAGATTGCAGGGGTCGTCGTCACAGAGGGACGGGAACTGGATATTGACTGAAAAACAGAAGAGACCTTGTTTGAAGGTAAAAATTGGAGGCAGGCGGGGAGACTAGAGGAGGAGGTACATGGCTTTATGACACTAAGGAACTAGATGTTGAATAAAAGCTGGTAATCTTGTGCTTGCATTTCGGAATCTTACATAGAGTATTTGTACATGGCTACGAATTCCGCAGCTTACATGCAAATCCACAACCAGTTTTCCTTCCCCAAATGCATTTTGCGCAGTTGAATCGAGCCGAGTTTCAGTAATTATTTGTGCTGATTGTGAGACGAATATGTAGCGTTCCTGTTTGCAGGCAAAATAAATTTCTGCCTTGCTGATCGGAATAGATTAAACCAGAACTCTTGAAATTTCTTATTTTGTTGGTGTGTCCTCAGCACACTGTTTTGATGAAATGTTGATTGTTGAGGAGTGACAGCTCAGGTGTCGAACTGGAGTGCCGGCGGTGACGAATTCTCGCTCATCCTTGAGTCAAATCCTCTCACGGAATTTGTCGAAATCCCCGCTGAATTGGCACAAGATCTCAGGTGAGCACCATTGTTCAGAAAAACTTGTACTTTTAACTGTACGTGTGCGAATTCATGTACATTCTCATTTTGCGCTTTTCAGACTGCTCGTTTTTGCCATTCCTTTAATGCGTTCATGCATATATGCAAATGCAAAACCGCATATTGGCAAAAGGCTGTCTGTATCTGTGTGTTCGCACTTTTTGTCACCACTTTCAACTCGAGAACCGGAAATGGTAGAAGGCTGAAACTTCAGGAGTATATGCTTACACCGTGTGCGACCCTCCCATTTTAATACCATTGCCCGTGTAAGCTTAGGTGCCGCGTGCAGGCGCTTTAAAAAAAATTTTTTGGCGAGAAAGCGATCTTGGAAACCAGAGAAAATAGCGAACTGAAACTTTGCAGAGATATTCTCTGTACATCTGTGAGACAAAGATTTCAGATTCAGTCCTGAGTGTCCGTGATTGACAACATGAGCATGTAAGAATTTTGGCGGGAAAATTGCTAACTCGTTAACCAGAAAAGCTGGAAAGTTGAAATCTTAGGAGAATATTTCCCGTCCAAATACAACTTAAAGGTTTCAGATCCAGCCTCGGGTGTGCGTGGTTCTCGTGTGTGGGCAATTAAATTTTTTGGCGGGATAATTGCACATTGAATAGCTGGGTCATTTTCAAAGAACGGAAATTGCTTATTTTCGTTTATGCAAAATTTACGATGATTTACGGTAATGACCGCACAAGGTAGGTATGAAATAAAACCATTTATGCAGTTAACCTAATTACTTCAAGTCTGTTGCAAATACGCGTAACCGCACCGGCAGACTTAGTGCGTTCCAGCCTAACAGGGCCTACCATGAAAATAATCTCTTGTGCATCTGTCACGCATTTTCATCTCAAGACCTATAAAAGCTGCAGGGCTGAAATTTCGGGAACATAATCAAAATGCGCGTACGGGCCCAATCCCCAAAATGGGCGCCATTACCCGCGTGGTACCCGCGTACGAGCCCACCAAAATTTTTTTCGAGTAAGTTCATAACTCGGGGACCTGAGAAGCTAGAATGCTGAAATCTTAGGGTAATATCCCCAATCCAACTAGGTGTTAATAAGCTCAAACCCAACCCCTGGGTATACGTAGTACCTACGTACGGGTCCGTGAAAGTTTTCTTCCAGTAAGCTGCTAACTCAGGAGCCAGGAAAGTTAGAAAGCTGAAATTTTAGGGGGTGCTTTCTGACAGTTCTGGCTGCCAGTCTTAATTTGTTTAGCTAAAAGCATTTGCCGAAAAAACCGGTGCCGGTAGCGACAAAAACTGCGGGAAACTAAGCAAAAAACGCATCTTCGCACGGGCAGTCCGTGCGTTGGCCAATTATTTCAAAACTTCTAATCTGACTAGCATTAACATGTAAAGTCGCGCAGCGTTAAGTTTCGTACAAATATTGTGAATACGACATGAAGCTTTTCTCAGTGCTGAATTGTTTAGTAATTTATGAATTTAAGGTATTCACAAATACTGTGTGGTGCAATTCGCGGTGCCTTGGAGATGATGCACATGGAAGTTCAGACGTTCATTGTGCAGGAGCACAACCAGAGCACAGAGATCCGGGTGAAGTTCATTCGAATTTTGCAAGAATCAGTTCCGCCCGGAGAAGACGATTGATGCTCCCTCCCTCATCGTTCTTTTACTGTTTTTCTTGTAATTTCATTTACAAATGTGCAGATTTTAGCGTTCTTTCGCAGATAGTTTAATTTATTGTTGTTAAAATTTGTTGTATTAGATCGTGTAAGATTAATTTGTTACGTTTGTCATATGCTTTTCTGGTCTATTCCAGTTATCATTTCGTTGACTTCCAGTTCAGTAGCCCACTCGCGATTCTGTATCCAAATGGTGGTCTCTGACAGACGTGAACCCAAAAGTGGTACCCACAAGCAAAATCCCTACTTTGGAGTGGGCTAGTGGGTTTTTCTGTCGTGGTTGAGCAGTATGTTGGTAAATTCTGCGACTGATAAGATTGACTGGAGTTTGCACAGAATATCATAAAATCTTTGCATGCTAGAATTTCTATAGAATGTTACAAAATTACATAAACAGCAACGCGCACCAGACTAGCCGGTGCGGTCATGCGTTTTGTGCAATTCAGCCCATCGAACGATTGCCTGTTAATGATTTTCACTGCTTTGTACTTTAGTCTATGAAAAATAGTTCAAACATTGGAAAACAGTTAAACGCACCAGCGCATGAAAGCTGAATTGGAAACCATGAAGGATGAATATCTTTCCTTGATTTCCGAGTTAATAGTTTACCCGCCAAAATTTTCACGAGACCGTAGGTGGTACCCGAGAGCGCGAGGACGCTGAATTTGAATGGTCTAGGTTGAGCGGGGGCAGGGGGTCATTCTCCTAAAATTTCAGCCTCCTAGACTCCGTGGTTCCGGAGATATTAACTTACCCGTGAAAAACTTTCACGGGGCCGTACGTGTTACCCGCGGGTAAGGGAAGACTGAATTTGAATGGGCAAGGTGGCGTGGGCAAGGGGTCATTACCCTAAAATTTCAGCCTCCTAGGCTCCGTGGTTCCCGAAATATTAACTTACCGATGAAGAACTTTCACGGGGCCGTACGCGTTACCCGCGGGTACAGGGAAGCTGAATTTAAATTTGCGGGGTCAAGGTGGGGAACGTTCCTTAAACCCGCAGGTACGGGGAAGCTGAATTTAAATTTGCGGGGTCACACGTGGGTGGGGAACGTTACCCTAAATTTTTACGGGGGAGCTGAATTTAAATTTGCGGGGTCACACGTGGGTGGGTAACGTTCCCCTAAATTTTCAGCTCTAACTTTTGTGGTTCCCGAGTTGAAAGTTGCGGACAAGTTGCTGTGGACACACACACGGACACACACACACACACACAACCCCGTGACAATATGCGTTTTGTAGTGCTGTTACACAGCACAAAATGCATAAAAATCGGTGAGCCATCATAAGACAACGCAAGGCTTAAAAAATTCTCATATCCTTTACACCTCTTGTCCTCACAAAATACCGATCCTGGTCGCTTGTCTTGCACTGAGTTCCCCTTGCAGGATCTGCAGTCGGAGCTTTTATCCTACCTTGCGCTTCAAATCTCGTCCAGGAGAACTCATTCCATTTTCAGTCCTGTAAAAAAAAGTGTTCAGAAAGCTAACAAATGAGCAGATTTCGCTGAAATCTTTCATTTATCTGCATTTTTTGTTGATCAACATATCCCCCTGTCAATGGATTTGCCGTCATTCGATGAATGCATTTTCGTTCTCCATAACGTAAACGTTTGTTGTTGCTTGCGTCATCGTCGCATATTTTCTACTGCTGCCATTAAATATCCTCCCCAAAGCCCGTACTACTGTGCCAGCATTTGTGAGAAGTTCCTAGCGTGCACGTAACAGCAGTGCTATTGTTATCAGTTCGTTGTTGATGAAGAAAGAGTTCCACAGCAGCAGCTGACAACATCTCAGGAAACACGGCTCATCGAAGTAGAAATCAGGAAACTACAAACTGCGCCTACCCAACAGTTTTCAGATCAAATTATGCGTTTTTGCCGTGCAGCGCTAGAGCGCTGCAACAGGCAGCAAAAACGCATATTGGAA